GCGCGGCTTCGCCCGTGTCTCGGCCGGCCTCGCCGCGAGTGGGACGTGCTGCTAACCGGGACGGGCCTGAGGGGGTGGGGTGGGCAGAGGGCGGGGTGCACATCGCGGGGTTACCGGAGCCTGCAGAAAACTTTTGTGTGAGCACACGTCGAAAGGGCGACTCGTGTGGGAACCCCCCCCCATTCTGCATGCTGGGAGCCGAGATTTGAAGGAAAAAATGACTATTAGCGGCCGTGAAACTTAGGCTTCACGCGGCGCCTGAAATCCTTAGTTCTAAGAATGTCAGAGGCGCGCTAAATTGGAAAGGAGATTCTTTTTTTTTTTTCTTACACGGTAGTAGCCGTGTCGCCAAAATCCAAAAATGAAAACGAAGGGGTTCTTGAAAGGTTCAGCCCTTTCACACTCCCTGTTTGAGATTTTTGCTGTCCTCAAGAGGCTGAATTTATGTCTCATGAGTCAGTCGTAGGATAAGGGCTTGACACTGCTAAGCCGTGAGATAACCGTTAGTTTTCCTTTCGTTGGTTCTTTTAAAGCCCGTCTCTTAATATGAAGATTTTGCAGAGATGTTCAGAAAAAAGAGCTAGTGCTGACTTCCCAAACCTCCCAGCAGCCCTTTATATCTTACTTAAATTTCTACTTTTTGCAAAAATGCTTAGATCGAATGACTCCAGTCACGTTAGTATATTTGCTGCATCCAGAAATATGGTTTGGCTGTGTGGCATTGTGTTGAATTGACATGAGTTTTAAATGTTCTCCTATAACATGAGTCTTTTTTAAATGAGCATTTTGTATTTGGCTTGAAGAGAGGTTTTTCCTTGATCCGAAGGTTTTATTTTCTGGAATCTAATTATTTTATGTTTTCGTTACGTTTAATTTAACCAATTTCAATGTCAACTTGTAGACCTTTTGCAATGAAACGGTAGTCATAAATATTTCTGTCTTGTGCTTAATACACAGCTTGTCCTTTTGCTTTACATATACTTAAAACAAAAAAAAAACAAACAGAAACACTTAAACAGATGTTCATTGAACTTCCCTGTTAAAAAATTGCCTCTTTTCTGTGACTTATAGTATTCCCAGGTGCCACGCTGTGAGGGTCTTGTGATACTGAGAACTTCTGAGTTCTGATGATCTTAAAGTAGTATTTGGGAGTGGGGGAGCATGGGACAGCAGAGCTATATGTTCACAAAGTGATTTGGGGATTTAGGATGCATCTTTATAGAAACAGGTTGTATTAATTAGTAAACGTATTCATCTCACGCGATATAGTTTCTTGATTAAAGGGGTGTCATTTACTGTTTCTGTTTCTGCTAGTTCATCAGAATTTGAGGCCTGCCTTGAGAAACATTTACTCACCCAGATTTTAATCACAGTCTGCGTCTTATGTAGACGTTATAGGGCTATCAAGTCTTAACTTTTTGTAATCACAAGAGTCATGATTTTGCTAATACCATTTTCAGAGTAACCCTGTGTTTTTCTTTGGCCTATTCTCTGTCTTCCTTCCCCTCTTGGTCTTCCTCCCTTTTTTATGAACTTCAACTGTATCAGTGAACTTTGGCATAAAAAGTTGTTTGAAGTTAGAAGACTGCACCTGGTTTGATAAGCAGTCTGGAGTTGTGGTTATCTTATGTCTCTCAGTGCTTTTTAGGAGACTGTTTTCTTTCTAACTGAGGAGGTATCTTGGTTTCATCAAGAAAAGTAGGCTTTTTCTTGAGATCCACCTTCATGTCTTTTATTTCAGTACTGTGTTGCAATGTCTTTATTCTGCTGCCTGTTATCTTCATCACACCATAATTTAACCACAAACAAATGCACTTTAATTCCCTGGCTTTGATGCATTATAGACACTGGCCTTGTATAGTTTTATTATTTACTCTCACTCTTCAGGGGATTGGTCCATTTCAGCATTACACACAGGCTGAACATACACAGTGATTGTTGGTAGGTTAGTCTGAGAAAGCTGATCATTTATCCTAATTAGGTAATGTTTGTTGAAGTTACTAGGAAGAATTTAGTTGTCCATTCTTCAATATGTTTTTGCATCTTTATTTTACTGATACAAAAAATTCAACATGTACTCATGATTTTTTTTTTTTTAAGAAGCAACCTCAACTGTAACTCACTTTATGTAGACTTAAAACAATTGTTTAGTTTTTTAAACTTGGTCATTTTTTCTTTTAAATCTGTGAATGGGAATAGCAAACTGATCTTAGAATAAAAATTAATGCCAAAGTTGTGGTTTTTTGTTTTGTTTTGTTTTGTTTTAAGTGAGGTGAAGAAAACCCAAACCACCAGCATGTTGACTAGAGACAACAGGGCACTCTTCTTCCTATATTGTATTTGAAGCAAAGCTAGGAAAAGTCCTTAAGCCTTGATTAAGCGGTCTGTGGGTGTTTATTTTGTTTTTAAATCAACTCTAAAAACTGTTTTAAGGATTGAGAGCTGAGGGGCGTTTAGGATTTTGTGGTGATTTGTCGATCTGCTCACCAGGACACAGCAGCTGCTTTTCTTAATCAGCGATTCTACCTCTAGTAAAATAAAGCCTTTTCTTAACCTAGTGTACATGAAGTTCCTTAAAGATCTAATGCTTTCATGTACATTTTTATAGCTTTACAGGATTATTATTACAATTTAGGTCAGATACATCACAAAAGGCATAAAATATTACTTTATGATAGAGGTTATTAGCAGCATGTATACAAATTAGATTAGATAAATCATGCATTGTCCTACAAAGTAGTTATTTCTGGCTTAATGTAATATAGCTCCTGAATTTTTTCCAGCAGCATAATAAAATGGCTAATCAGGTGAATGGTAATGCGGTACAGTTAAAAGAAGAGGAAGAACCAATGGATACTTCCAGTGTAACTCACACAGAACACTACAAGACACTGATAGAGGCAGGCCTCCCACAGAAGGTGGCAGAAAGACTTGATGAAATATTTCAGACAGGTATAATATGCATTTCTTGTTTCTGACTGGTTATGAAAGTGAGGGCAAACCACTTTGAATTTTATAGATTTTTAAGGTTAAATAATACTGTGTCTGACCTGTGTAGAGCTGAATGTTTGTTACTTTCCCTTCGTTGAGGGCATATTGGGTTTGACTTTGATATTCTTATTTCATTATTTTGAAGCCTTCTTAGTGTTGAATATTCAGTCTTAGTTGTTTCAGAACAGTACATCAATTTATCTTAGATTTACCACCAATTAAAATGTATGTTTCAGCATATCAAATTTTGCATTTTTTTCTTAATCTAAATCAGTCATCATTTTGCTTTTACTTTTCTACTTTTAGCTTCTTAAAGTGATTGTTACATCAGCTTAGGTCTGATTAGGTGGCATAATAAGAGTAATAGTTAGACTATATTGTTTGAAACGATAATAAATGTCATACTCCTTAAGAGTTTGTGGCCTGTCTGCTTCCTGACAGAAATCTACATCTCTCTCGGTTATTTGGAAGCGTTTGGTTTGTAACAGCTGCTTTTTTTTTTTTTTTTTTTTTTTTAAATCAGAAGTCCCATGGTTAAGTGTTTAAGTAAATTTGAATATCAGAATATGGTTGGCTGTAAGTGGTTGGAAGTTCTAAAGAGGGAGAGAAATATTTACCCTTAGGGAGTGTTGTTCATAAATAAACGTGTCCGCCTCCTTTGGGGCCATAGATGGAAACTTTCTTCCTCTGTGTTTTGTGTGCCTATCTAGGTTTGAGTGAGAGAATTGTCTCGCTCACAAATGTGTCTTAAGTACAATAGTAACAAAATAGCTGTTTTTTTTTGGTCCTTAAACATTTTTTAATCTGGGAAGCTCAGGATAATTTTAGACACTAAAATGACTTACAAAAATGACTCCTGGGTGATGGTCCCATTGGAAAATCAGTCCTCCGGAACTTTCTGCCATAGAGAATTGGCAGTGATCTGCTTAGAGATACTCTCTTGTAGAGTGTTTTGTTACTGATAAGAGGCTGATGGTTTGGGTGTAGGCTTGGGTTGGCAGAATGGATTGATGGGTATCCTGAGTTGTGGCTTTGGGTGGTGGTATGAAATATTCAAGTAAAAATACTCCAATTATTTGGACATGCTCATTTGGAGCTTTTAAAACAAATCGTGGCAACGTTTTTTTTCCCAGTAACTTTGGAAGTGGCATTATATTTATTTAAAACTTATTTACTGTATAGAATAAAGTTCTTTTTGGCTTTACCAAAATGGAGTCACTTTTGATGTTGGTTTATAAGGACTTGGGGGCTTTAGTCTACCAAATATTTCCACTTTACATTGGATGAATTCTGAAATATATTCCTTTGTAGAAATAGAGAGAAGTATATAGCACAAACTTAATGGACTTACGCAGTTCTATTTTAATCTTAGTAGTAGTTCTGTATGCAATTAAAAATACTATAACATATATAGAGTGCATATTTTCTGTATAGTTTGTTTGTAAGTCTTTATTGCCATTTGAAAAAGATTGTCATTATTGACAGTGTTGTGAATGCCACAGCATCTTTTAAATCTCAGCTTGTCTTCTCAGAACAAAGAATGCCTTAAAATTTGACTTTCAGAATTGATTAGTCAAGCTGCACTTGAATTTGTAGAAGAGTTTAAAATATGCCTTTCCACATTCTGACTGCAGCAAAGTGAAATGCCCAGATAAACAAAAATGCATTTTAGTGCTAAGGAGGAAAAGAAAACTTTTGTCACTTTTTGGAGAGTGGAAAAAAATATTTAATAAAATTGGTTCTTATATTTTTCTCCACCTCTTATGTGGTTAGCAGCAACTAAACCGCTCAGTAATTTGAAGGTTTATCCTTAGAAAATACTGTGTATTTTTATCACTCTAACATAAACCAGACTTTGATGTATTAATGCTTGATCTGTAGTACAGTATGCACGTTAAATATAATTTTGAAGACTAACATCTTTTGGGGAATGGGAAATCAGTGTTCCTAAGGCTTTGCTTTTGCGGCTATGGGGGTCGAAATTCGTATTTATAGGTATTGACTTCTTTTATTTTGATGTTTATACTTAATGTTTCTGTATAGTATTTGCATAGCTGCTTGTAGTTCAATTAAAACAGTTTGTCAGTGATAGCATTGAATATAACAATTTCTGATTACATGTCAGTAAGACAGTTTAGATTACTTTTGTTGCAATAATGTTACCCCTTTTCAATTTAATTTTTAGGACTGGTAGCTTATGTCGATCTTGATGAAAGAGCAATTGATGCTCTCAGGGAATTTAATGAAGAAGGAGCTCTGTCTGTACTACAGCAGTTCAAGGAAAGTGACTTATCACATGTTCAGGTAAGGTCATTATTTAGAAATGGCTTCGCATGATTAATGATTCAGAATTGATTTCTTTTTTTTGAAGGAGAGGTATTTGTTTGTGATGACCTCTGCTTCTTTTAAAAAGAAAATTTAATGGATAATTCTGCTTGTGGCAAAGATTTGTGGCAAAGATTTGCAGAAGCACAGGAATAAAACAAGTTTCCTCTCACTCTGTGTAGTAAGTTATTTTAGAAATGTAAAATCCAAGGCAGGGTCTGATGATTGTTAGTGTTAAGTTTTTACATGTCTGATTGCACAGATTTTTTACATCTGTGGGTTATCTGATCCTGTTTTATTGTCCTAGAGGGAAATAACATAAGTGAGATCATTTTAGACATCTGCCAGAAATATTTCAGGTGCAGTTTAATAGCAACAAAGGTGAACTATGTTTTCCCACTGTAGAAGGTAAGCTACATGAGGCTCACTGCTGTTTGTTCCAATCTCTTGCACATTGTAACCACCCAGCAAATACTTGTCCAGTGAGTGAATGAATAAATATTTTGTTTAAGATTCCTGGTGATTCTTTCCATTGAATTACTTGTCTGTTCTAGAACAAAAGTGCATTTTTATGTGGAGTTATGAAGACCTACAGGCAAAGAGAAAAACAGGGGAGCAAGGTACAAGAGTCCACAAAGGGTCCTGATGAGGCAAAGATCAAGGTAAAATTTGACATAGATAGTTGTAACAAAGTTAAATTTAATTATGTTGGATGGTTCTCTAAATATTTCCTAAACACATATTTTATAATTCCACATTTTTGTTTGGTATAGTGTTTTGTTTTTTTCATGATAATGGGTGTATGCATATGAGAACGTGAAGGAAAATAAGAGGGATGTGAGCATCCTCCTCGTCCTTCAGCCTGTCAGATTCTGGTCACTCACACGTGTGCCCAGTGTATTTGAGAATGAATGGGTCAGGGCCTCAAGTGCAGTCACCAGTTGGGATCTGGCTTCTCTTGAACAGCACTTTACTGATATGCTATAGAGCTGGCTTTTTGTTTATCTTTAAATCAGTGTATAGAAGCAAATAATTCAGGGGGAATTATGTAAGAACAGGAATCTGAGGGGCCAGAATTTAGTTGTGTGTTTTATGAAAAAAACCTAATTTAAAGTCTCATTCTTTATTCTTCTGGTCATGAATGACATGTTTATCTATTCTTGATAATAGTTTCTTGAATTGTTCATCCCTTGGTTCAATTTCATTCTAAGCATTTACTGCTTTTCTTTTGGTAAAAAGGTGTTGGGCTGGGGCCAGCAGATGTAGCAATTATGTTGCTGGGCTCCCAGATGGGTGACCACGCTTCAAGTCCCAGACCCAGTGGCTTCAGAATCACGCCAGGCACGTGTGCGAGTGTGCCCAGTACCCTGGGAGGAGAAGGGATTGTAGCGTGACCACCTCCCCCCAAGTGGTGATTTCTCACTTTCCCTCTCATTATCTCTGTCCCTCCTCCCCCCATGGGGAACTCACATGCTCTAAGGCAAAAACCTCTTTATAAAGGGGGGGTGGTTGGAGTAGCAGGTAGCATAGTGGTTAAAACACTGAATCCCATATGGTTGACTCCATGGTTTGAGTTTGGACCCATTGACCTGAAAAATGGCCACACGTACATGTGTGTGTGAAATTCTGAGAGGAGAATGGAGAAGGCATTACAGCATGCCCTCCCCCTTCCCCCCCCCGGGGGGTGATTTCTCACTTTCCCTCTCTCTGTTTCTCTCTTGTTACAATTGCTTTCTTCCTTTTGATTTTTTTTTTAACCTCAGTTTCCTTATTTGAAAAATGGGAATAGTGATAGTGCCTACCTCATAGAATTATTGTGAGGTTAAATTAATTAACATAGGTATGGCCAGCCTCATAGACTAGTGGTTAAAGGAGCTGGATCCCACATGTCTGACCGTGTGGATCAAATCCCGGTCCCAGTGGCTTGGAAAACACACCAGATTCATGTGTGTGTGTCCGAAATCCTGAAAAGACGGAGAAACAGAGGAGAAGGGATTGTAGCATGACTGCACCCCATTGGGAGATGCTTTCTCCCTGCCCCTGTCTCTGGTGAATGCACAGACCCCCTGGCAATAAGAAAAGAAAAGAAAAAGGTAGAGTGCTTAGAATAATGCTAGGGGCCAGATTCTGGTATGCCAGTTGTACAGTACTCTTCCATGCTGACTCCCATAGGAGAGTTTTTGGTTCATATCCAGAAACCTCTGAACTTGCCCGTGATCCAGGGTAGACTGAAACTAGGAGTGGATTACAGTGTTAAGAGCCTACCGAGAATGCCTCTTTCTCTCTCTGACTCACCCATGGAAGAAAGAAAGAAAAAAAACTTTAAGTAAGGGTTGAGGGAGCCAGCGGGTGGCATCATGACTGAGGTGCTAGACTCCCACATGGCCAACCTTGGTCTGAGTTCCGGATTTGGTGGATTGAAACTCAAGCAAGGCATGTGTGAGTGTGTGCCCAAAATCCCAGGGGGAGAATGGAGGGGAGGGGATTGCAGCGTGGCCCTCCTGGGGGGTAGAGGAGTTTCTTGCATTCTGTCTGTCTGTCCAGCAAGCACACATGCCATGTACCAAAAAAAAACCTCTTGAAAGAAAACAAAGGAAGGAAGGAAGGTAGGAAGGAAAAAAGGAAGGAAGGAAGGAGGGGGTGAGTGCTATTCAGTGACATAGCAGTAAGATGAGATTCTCTGTGAGGCTGACCCACAGGGTAGGATTATAGGTTTGCCATTGGAGTACATTGGGCACGTATGTGCACATGATTCCAGGGCTCACTGAAGTTGGGGGTGAATTGTGGTGTCAAGACCCTGTTGGGGGTACTGTTTCTGTCTTGTCTCTCTTGTTCACTCATGGAAGAAATTTTTCAGAAACACAGTAATACTTGGAATGTACCAAGAACTGTACATTATTATCATTACCATTATTTTAATTTTTTTAGTTTTGCTATAGGGCACAGTACTTGCTGCAGAGAGAGAGAGAAAGTATTCCACAGGGGACGATGACCGTGCTTCCATCCCCACTCCTCCCCTCTCCTCTTGGCATTTTGGGCACGAATGCACAGACCCAGCATGTTTTTCAAGCTACTGGGTCTGAGACTTGAATTGTGCTGTTAAGGCAGTTGCCCCTATAGGATCCAGCTGCCTTAACCATCACATAACAAGCTGCCCCTCACTTGTTTTTTCTTTTTCTTTTTTTAAAGTTTGTTTCTGCCCTTCGAGAGTAGCAGGGAGACCCCTGGCTGGGTCTTGCCATGCTGCAATCCTCCCCTGAGCTGCTCAGCCAGCCAGGATCACAGTCACATGTGTCTAGTATGTTCAGGTCAATTTGGATCCGAATCCAGGCCTCCCCTGTGGCTCCAGCATTATGCAGTGATGCCCCACTGCTTATTACCCTGTAGCTGGGCCTGTGTTTTTATGTTTAAAATTAGCTCTGTTGAGTGAAAAATAGAAGAATAGAAATCCTAAGGCATGCATTTCTGTAGAATATCAAGGTTCACTAAGCTAGTTTATTTATTTATTTATTTTTATTATTACGTTTTTGTCTCAGGGTGTATGTGCTCGATGGAGAGAGAGAGACAGATGGGTATAGTGAGAGGGAAAGTGGGAAGTCTCCCCTCAAGAGGGGATGGCCACTCACAATCCTTTCTCTATTCTCCTCCCGGGATCTTGGGTATGTACGCACATACACTTGGCGTGTGTTTTAAGCCACGGGTCTGGGACTCAAACTGCAGTTGCCATGTGGGAGTCTAGCAACGTAACGCTACGCCGTCTGCTGGTCCCACTGAGCTTGATTTTTAGATGATAAAATAGAGCTCTTAGATCTTGATGATATGTAAAGTGCCCTATATTATGTAATTTTAAGAACTTGATGTGTAAAATTCTCCCTTGTAGGTACATTGCATTTCTTGCCATTGTGTCTGTTTTGTGGTCCTTTCGTGTTACATGTTGCTTCATTTATAACATGAGTTCCTTAAGGGCAAGGAAATTGTGATTCTTCTCGTTACTTGATGCAGTATAGTGAAGAATGTTGGTAATCAGGAAACATGAGGTTTTACTTATTTTTGAAACTTGAGTTACTCATTTGGTGATTGCCAGATATGTTGAATCTCTATTGAATAAGAGATTGTCCTGTTCTTACAGTATAGTAGGTGTATGAAACAAAAGGGTCAAACAAAATAAAGGTTAAAGGTTATGGAACTTTGAGTACAGCAGAAAGAGTAGGAAAGGATAAAGTAAATGACAGAAGCTGCAGGAAGGAGGCAGAACTTTTTTACTGATTTTTTTTTTTTAGGAAGAGAACATTTGATTAGAAAAGAATCATTGGTAGAAACAAGTATGATTTACATAGGAAATAAAGCAATCTAATTAAGTACAGGGTGTGAAAGATGAGTAGTATGATACGTAAGTATGAATGGGTAGCATGGGGGAAGTTTAAGTAGAATTTATAATTTTTTAAATTTTTAAAATTTAACTTTATTTATTTTTTATTTAATTTGACCACAGAGGGGCAGAGTGAGAAACACAGAGAGAGGGAAAGTGAGAAAGCAAGCCACCAGGTCTGGGAGTTGAATCATGGTCAGCCATTTGGGAGTCCAGCGCCGTTTTATTTTTTTTGGTTTTCTTTCTTTGTTTGTTTGGTTTTGTGAGAGAGACTACACATGTGAGAGAAAGACTGCTCCTCGTTGTCCTCCTTCCCCAGCTTTCAAGGTTGTCAGTCTTAGGTGTGACATCTGGCAGGTTTGTAGGTCAACTTGGATCTGAACCTGTGTTTGCCTGTGTGGCTTCCAGCACTCCATTTCAGCATGCTTCCAACTGTACCACTGAGGCTGGGCTTAGCGATGCCTTTTGAAAAAGATCAATATACTGATTTGTATGATTTAGTGTTCAAATATAAACAGATGTTTATTATCTCTAGGCCTTGCTTGAGAGGACTGGTTATACTCTGGATGTAACTACGGGACAGAGGAAGTATGGTGGTCCTCCCCCAGACAGTGTGTACTCTGGTGTGCAACCTGGAATTGGAACAGAGGTAAGTGGTCTTTAACCTTCTGCCAGGATCTTTCCAGTTTATAAATTGTGCCTTCTAGTGTATGATAGGGAAAAGTACTTGATTCTTTTCAAAGTATAAATGTTGTTACTTTGTTACTTTTTGGATATTTATACCTAAACATAGAAGAAGTACAATGAAAATATGGTATGAAAGATAAAAAATGGTATACCTATGTAGGGCATTTTACCAGGAGTGGAACTTGCAGGACTTGGAAGTAGCTCCAAGTGAGTCACTAAGTGGGTGAGTGAATATGAAGGCCGAGGAAATTACTGTAGATTTCATATACACTGTACACTTGGGGTACACTAAACTTATTCTAAAAATTTATTTTGGATCCACCAGGTGGTGTGGTAGTGGTAGTTAAGGGTACTAGACTTCCACATGGCTGACCATGGTTCAAGTCCTTGACCTGGTGGCTTACTTTCTCACTTTCTTTAACTACGGGACAGAGGAAGTATGGTGGTCCTCCCCCAGACAGTGTGTACTCTGGTGTGCAACCTGGAATTGGAACAGAGGTAAGTGGTCTTTAACCTTCTGCCAGGATCTTTCCAGTTTATAAATTGTGCCTTCTAGTGTATGATAGGGAAAAGTACTTGATTCTTTTCAAAGTATAAATGTTGTTACTTTGTTACTTTTTGGATATTTATACCTAAACATAGAAGAAGTACAATGAAAATATGGTATGAAAGATAAAAAATGGTATACCTATGTAGGGCATTTTACCAGGAGTGGAACTTGCAGGACTTGGAAGTAGCTCCAAGTGAGTCACTAAGTGGGTGAGTGAATATGAAGGCCGAGGAAATTACTGTAGATTTCATATACACTGTACACTTGGGGTACACTAAACTTATTCTAAAAATTTATTTTGGATCCACCAGGTGGTGTGGTAGTGGTAGTTAAGGGTACTAGACTTCCACATGGCTGACCATGGTTCAAGTCCTTGACCTGGTGGCTTACTTTCTCACTTTCTTTCTCTCTCTCTTTCTCTCTGTCTCTCTCTCTATCTTTGGTCAAATTGGAAAATAATAATAATGAATATGAAATAAAATAATTCTTTTTTTGGGGGGGAGGGGAGAGGTTTTTTTGCTATAGGGTGCGTGCGCTCACCAGACAGACAGAGAGAGACATAGAGACAGAAAGCAAGAAATCACCCCCCAGGGTGCAATCCTAACCATTATGCTAACTGCTGGTTCCCTCTCTCTGTCTCTCTTGAGCACACATGCCCTATAGCAAAAATCTCACTTTAAAAAATTTAAGTCTAGGGAACCAGCAGTTAGCGTAATGGCTGTGTCGCTGGACTCCCATGTAGTCGACCGCGGTTCGCGTCCCAGACCCGGTGGCTTAAAACTCACGCTGGGCACGTGTGCGTGCGTGCCCAAGATCCTGAGAGGAGAATGGAGGAGAAGGGATTGTGGTGTGACCATCCCCCCTGGGGGGTGATTTCTCGCTTTCTGTCTCTATGTCTCTCTCTGCATGTTTGGCGAGCACGTGCGCCCTGTAGTGAAAACCTCTCCAAAAAAAAAAAAAAAATTTAAGTCTAGGGACCAGCAGTTAGTGAAATGGCTTTGTCGCTGAACTCCCATATAGCTGACCGCTGTTGGAATCCCGGACCCGGTGACTTAAACTCAACGCTGGGTGTGTGTGCGTGTGTGCCCAAGATCCTGAGAGGAGAATGGAGGAAAAGGGATTGCGGTGTGGCCATCCCCCCTAGGGGTGATTTCTTGCTTTCTGTCTCTCTGTCTCTCTTTCTGGCGAGTGCACACGCCCTATAGCAAAAACCTGTAAAAAAAAAAACAGTTAAGTCTAATGTAATGCTATTATGTTCCTCACAGTGTCCAATATAATCTGGTGCAAAATTAGGTGGCCATATCTATTTCAAAATCTGACACTTGGCTTCTTCACTGAATTGCATGTTAAATATGTTTTCATGATGCTTGTATTGCTCTGTTAACCTAATTTGTCAACCCATTTTTCTCGTACAGCTCATTTTCTTTCTTTTTTTTTTTTTTTAAATTTTTTTGGAGGGGAGGAAGAGATTTTTGCTATAAGGTGTACACGCTTTCTGAAGACACAGAGAGAAAGTAAGAAATTCCTGTTCCGAGAGGATGACCACACCACGATCCTTCTCTGTTCTCCTCTTGGGATTTTGGGCATTCACGTGTGCACATAGCCCTGGCATGAGTTTCAAGCACCAACTCTGGGACTCAGATCGTAGTGGGCCATGTGGGAGTCCATCGCCCAACTACTATGCCACCCACTGGCCCCCACGGAGCTCATTTTCTACTTTGGTTGCCAGAATGTTCTTTTTAAAATGTAAGTCATACCCAGCCACTTGTCTGCTCTAAACTCTGTGGCTTCCCAACACATGTAGAATAAATCCTAAGCTCTTAACCATGGTTTATCTTAACCTGACCCCTATTCTCTTTTCCAACGCTGCCAGCTGGAAAGTCCTTCTGTTCCAGCTGTTGGCCTATTTATGTTTCTGTTTTTAAGTTTTTCTATAGGGCACATGTCTTACTAGAGAGGCGGAGAAGGAGGAAAAGTGAGAAATCTCCCTCTGGTGATGGTCACACTGCAGTCTTGAGTCTCTATTCTCTTCTTGGGATTTTGGGGACATGCACCCAGTTGTATGACCAGTGTGATTTTTAAGCCACCAGGAGTGGGGCTCAAACCACAGTCAGCCATCTAGGATCCAGCCACTTTAACCTCCACACCCCTGTGTTGGCTTTTCTGCAGGTATGTCAGGTGTACTCCCATCTTGCAGCCTTTTGTATTTGTTCTTTGGCTTGGAATGTTCTTTCCTCGTATTAAAATTTTTTTTTCTCAGGGACCAGCAGTTAGTGTAATGGCTATGTCACTGGACTCCCACATAGTCGACCGTGGTTTGAGTCCCGGACCCAGTGGCTTAAACTCACGCTGGGCGCATGTGCATGTGTGCCCAAGATCTGAGAGGAGAATGGAGGAGAAAGGATTGAGGCATGGCCATCCCCTCTGGGGGCGTTATTTCTCACTTTCTATCTATCTGTCTCTGTCTGTCTGGCAAGCGCACGTGTCCAATGGCGAAAAAAAATTTTTTTTTTCTCTTAGGTTTCAGCTCAAATTTACCTCTTTAGAGAGATCCTCCTGATTAAAATCCAACCCTGAGACCAGCAGGTGGCATAATGGTTATGTTGCTGAACTCCCCCATAGTCGATCATGGTTTGAGTCCCAGACTCAGAGACTCATGCCAGCCTGTGTGCATGCATGCCCAAAGTCCTCAGAGGAAAATGGAGA